AGAGAAAAGACTTACCTCTTTGTGAGTCGTGACTTCTACTGGCCCCGCCATTATGAGTTTGTATGGAAATGCATTCACGCTTGCAAAGTTTGTCAACGGGTGAAGCCTAGTCCTTCATCCCGCGCACCCTTGCAGCCTCTTCCGATTCTGGCAGAGTGTTGGCAGTCCGTATCGATGGAATTCGTCTTCGGGTTTCTTAAAGACGTTCACAAGAGTACTGGTATTCTTGTGTTTGTTGATCGGTTCAGCAAGATGGTACATCTTATTGCTGTTCCGTAGTCAATCACAGCCCAGGGCTGTGCTCGTGTCTTCATCGATACTACCTTCCATCTTCACTGGTTATTCCGTGAGCTCGCGATTAACAGGGACCCCCGCTTCACAGCGGAGTTCTGGTAATCTGTGTTCCGCTCACTGGGAACACGGTTGAAGATGTCGACTTCTGACCACCCGGAAACAGATGTTCGGACGGAACGCGTCAACCGCGTCCTCGAAGAGGTACTTCGAGGGTATATCCACTCGTTTGCGAGTTAAAGTGAGTTCTAGCCGATGGCGGAATTCACCATCAACAACTCGGTGCATGCGTCTACAGCACATACACCGTTCTTCGTGAATCGCCTACGCCATCCACGTTTACCCGCCTTTTCGAATGTGACTCTAGTTTAAGGGGGGACGTGGACTCGCTCGAAAAAAAAACCGATCAGGTTCTTGCTCATCACCCGTCGAAAATGGTGTCGACGGGATGGATGCCGATGTCGATTATATCGACAGCGCTGACGATGATGACAACGGTGATGGTATATTTCAGCATCGCCAATGACTGCCACAGTGAGGACGATGACGCCCTCACTGGTGGAGGCAACGTTCTTTCAGCAGTGCACACGAAGCGCACTGCTGTTGACAAGATAGAATCAGCAGAGAAATTTCTGCTGACTCGCGAAGCGGCTGTCCGCTTCGTTCAAGACTCTATTGCAGATGCACTAGTCAGACAGAAAAAAAACGCAGACAAACATGCAAGAGCAAATGTTCTCTGATTTAATGAAGGAGATTTAGTTTTAATGTCAACAGTAAATCTACCAAAACACGCAGTGACAAAAGTGGGGAGCAGCAAATTCCTGCCCAAGTATATCGGTCCATTTCGTGTGTTGCGCCGAATAGGTCACCCTTACACGATTGAACTGCCCCGTAAGATGCGTATGCATCCTACGTTTCATTGTGGACGTCTCCGCCCGTAATATCAGTACGAGCCCGTTTCGAGATGCGAAGAACACCTCCGCAATCAAGGACCGAGACCACCTTCGAGTGGTCTCGTTTCAACGAGCCAGTCTAGGCGACTAGCGAAGCGACCTGTTTACGCAGTTCAGCAATGTCTCGGCGAGCAGCAGCCAGCTCGTCACGTAGAGAACGAGTCGAACGTGGGTTCTCAAGTTGCGCGAACGCAAAATCGGCACGATCGTCCGAACGATCGTGCGCTAGGGAATTGTAATTATCCCTCAAAAGATCCTTAAGCCCATAACGCCGAGTCCGTTCACGAGCCAGGTCATCTTGCAACTGTTCCGTTACACGGTTCAGCTCTTGAACATCAAGCTGATCCGACCCTCGAGCCGGATCAGGTGTTCCCACATCCTTTGGTGGACTCAAGCGGTGGCCAACGCTTTTTAGTGGAGCTTATTTTGAATCACCGCGATGTGAATGGTGTCCGGACGAGTTACCTCGTCCGCTGGCGTGGCTATCCACCGGTGTGGGACAGCCGGGAGCCTCGTGCCCAGCTGATTGATGATGTCCTTGGTCTCGTCGAGCAATATGACGAGACCCACCCGCTGCGCTTGAAGAATGGCCGTCGGAAATTGACCTCCCCAAACGCGATTACATTGATTGCAGAGTTTCGATTTCATTCGGTCATGTCAGAAGAGATGCGCGCCCTCCAGTAGGAATTATTAGGGAGGTAGGCATCCCTAGGGGCACGATTCGAGTTGTCCAAGCAACCTGGACACGAATCACCCAATGAGAGACAGAGTAATCCTGTCTCTCTTGACAGACGGTGCTTTTGGTATTGTAGACCGACTAAGTTGCGCTTTTCAAACCTGATTTAAGCTGCATCAAGTTTGTCGAGCCAGGCCTCACGGCCAATGCACTCGATGTTGTGGATGAGGGCATTCCATACATGCACCAAGGCTTTGCCGTCTCCACCACGGTTTCCGTTGTACCACCGATGTTTGAAAAATGCATCGGTGAATTATCCTTCCTCAGCACGATTAGCTTCCGTGCTGGAATTAGGAGGACAGATCCCCCTAAAGTCAAACAACGGGATGCGATCCACTTCTGTGTTCATACCGGCCCATCAATCTAACTCTTTGGACGATATCTATACGAAAACTTCACTTGAGGAGCGTGACGCAGGACATTTCGGTCCCTGGCCTCTTGTTTGGTGTCAGCATGAGCACTAACACCAGTGGCAGCTCGATCCATCCAATTGCTTCTCTCGTGGTGTTGCAAGGGGCATCACCACCATCACCACGCTTCCTATCATCGGATGAACTTTCGTGATGCGAGGATTCGTCGGAACAATCTTTTGGTCTAAAGATCTCGAGCATGATGCCGCCACGTTGACCAGAGCCAGTCAACCTGGCTCTTGCAGTGTCCGCCCCGGGCGATCCGGAGGCGGGAGGTGTCGCCTTCGAGTCGGATATATCATCCGACTCGCCGAATTAGATAGGCTTTATTTCAGGCTCATCCGCATCGCAGGTCGCTGCACCCGCTGCAGACGCAGCGAATGTATCTGTCGCACGTGGTGACTGACCACGGGACTATTTACAACAGGCACTGTGTGTTGCTGAATCGCAACAGCGGGTGAGCGATCACCTGCTGCTCATAATTGAGAAGTATCCTCTCCGTCTGCACGCATGCATGCAGCCGCCTTCTTGGCTGCTTCGGCAGCCCTTTGCATGGACTTTGACACCATGCGATGTATATGCAATGAGTTGAAATTTGACCAACAAGTGATCCCCTTCCCAGAGTGAACTAACGGTGATCACTCTGTCTCCGATCAATTCTATATAATCACCGGGGCGACTGATGTGATTGATTAGAATTGGTCAGAGACAGAGTGAATAACTTGAGTTCACTTCATATCACACCGGGGTGTAATGTAACGGGGTAGCCCGTTATATGATATTGACACCAGACGGTGTCAATAGGGATATTGTCCAGCGTGACAATCCCCTGTCAATATTATCTAAGATCGGTAATATTGAAGGAACAATATCCCCTTTTAGGATGATATTCATGCGCTGCTCAAAGATTGGTTGATAAAAGACATAGCAACCATAGATTACCACCAATCGCTGCTAGACGCGCACACTGAGTGGTGAGCAGGTTGTCGTCATACGACGACGTAGATTGATATAGTTAGATAAAGATTAAAGTTAGATTGATAGCTTAACTATATTATCATAATGCAGTTCTTTTTTTTATCCTTTACTCAAACTAGCTGTTGAGTAGATTAGCTTCCTCGGCACGTACTAGTGTACGTGAAGTTTCGTCGCACCCAGAAAAAGGGTGTCCCGTTACAATGAGCGCATCGACTCTCGTGCTCCCAATAACGATATAAATGTTCGGTATGAACGGATGACAATTCGATAAGTGACGGCGAAACCTCGTCGGACAGATCTGCAGTATTAACCACCGCTCGATCGTTTCTTTCGTTGTCGATGTCGTCATTCTTTATTTCATTGGTGCAGCCAGCTTCGTCGCAGGCAGTTTTTATCATGCTAGTCGTTGTTGCTCGCATTATCTGGGTCGTCGTAGTGTTGGACGTTATCTTCGTCTTTATTGGTATTCTGACGCGAACAACCATGGGAACAAGAAATAATTGGTATTCGACTCTTGTATCGTTTGTTTTTCGCGTTATCTCGTTTGTCGTTTCTGACGCGTACCTCGTCCATCGTTGTTGGTTGCCTCGTTTTCCATGTCACCATGTGCGTTCGGTGTCCCAACTCCAATTTGCCATCCCAAATTCCAGCGGAATATCACCCATGTAAGTGTGCACGTGTATATCCACGTCTTCGTCGTAGACACGCCCGTCCTTGAGAAACTGTTTGAGTCTTTCTCTTATCTCTTGGGCGTATTTCTGCATAGCAATGTGATTTCACTTAATAAGACAGGCTCATTCTAGCTGCGTGAACCAAAACATGATGTTTTGACATTTAACATTGTAGACGAAATAAGTTTTGGAGTTGTGGCAATGTAAACAAGCAACACAGGTCCGTTCGAGACGATTGAGTATCATTGTGGGATTATACTTGGTCGTGTTGGCTCAAAGTGGTTTTGGCGGACTTTATTATTGCTGAAGACCACTGCCTGGATTCGAAATGCCAAGAGTATAGCGAGGATAGGGTGGACCAAATCTTTTTTTAACACAATTATTAACCCCCTGCGTCCGATCGACGTGCATAAAAAACACCAAAAAGGTAAAAGGACTGCTATCTGTTTAGTAGCTACTGTAGTATCTGCCAGCTAGTCTTTCAGTATCTGCGATCAAGACCCTCGCCTTTCTGTGAATTAATACTGAGGGCACAGCCGCGGCTGTTCTGTAATCATTAGTCTGAGTCACCAAGATTAGGTGAAATCCACTTCAAATCGACGGCACTCTGCGCGCAATCATTGGCCCATTGCCTTGTTTTATACCGTCACTGTCCCTGCTTTCTCCAACAGCAGTACCTTCCCGAACTTTTCTGACCTCGTCAACGTAACATCGTGTGACAGACCGTCTTCTCGAAGCTCAGAATGGAATATTCGATCCGCTGAGCCAATCGCTCGTAGTCACGAAGTCGTCTCTCCATTACCCACGTCGTTGTTGCCTATCGACTCGTCCCGAACACTAGTCTATTTTTCACCGTCTCCATCGTCGTTTGATCCGACGGTTGTCAGCGCTGAGGCCACTTTGCGATTCGCAACGCAACGAAATAGTAGTCAGAAGTATCCACCACGATCACTCAATTGGAATGAGCGCGAGCACTAGCAACGGAGCGACGACGACACAGCAGGAGGTTCCTTCTGCACACGGTAACGTAGTCTTTGTGTTACCCCCGCCGCCCACGATATGGGTGCAGTTCAACGACGGGACGAGGGTAGCTTTCACGCCGTCTCCAGCACGGTACCTGCAGTCCGTGCTCCACGGCGTCCCTGTCTTTGGCTCGACATCTGAAAGCAGCGACGCTAGTGGAAACAGCAGTGACGGTTTCCTGAACACGCTGAACGAGCTCTTTCAACGTGCGCAAGAGCAGCAGCAACAAGGTCCACCACCAACGAACAAGGTGTTTCTGGACGAGCTGCCAGTGAAGACGTGGACGACAAAAATGCAGACGAGCGAGAGGCACTCGGAGTGCGTCATCTGCTTGAGTGACTACGAGAAGGACGACATGGTGCTAGCTCTTCCTTGTGGGCACACGTTCCATAAAGAGTGTGGCATGACGTGGCTCGTGGAACACAACGTCTGTCCCACATGCAGATTCCAGCTGCCGACCGAGGGACAATCGGCTGGGACATTGACGGTGCCGCAGATAGTAGTACCACAGGCAGCAGCCACGGCGCCTGGGCAGGCGTCATCCATACAGGACCCAAACGTTAGTCTTACGGGTATGCGTCGTCAGCGTCCATCAGCGATGTTCCACTCTCGGGACATCCGTCAGCGAGTGAGTGAGTCAAGTGCATTGACATTAGTGAGTGTGGATGACGATGCAGAACTGGACCGGATGCTGGAGCTAGAAGCTGACCGCTTCGTTAAAGAGGAAATGGAAAGGGATGAAGCCGTTGGGAAAGACGACGGCGTTGAGATTGAGGACCGCGATGTTGAGGAGTTGCTTCGCGAGTCGACAAGCAGTCAACAAGGGTGCACAAAAGCGTGATATCTATGTAGAGTAGCAGACAAATAATTGATTAGTAGATATCTTACACTCATAGCCACGTTGCCGAATCATTATGAAGGTTGTCCATAGTAAGACGCAGCTCAACCGAGCGTGCGGTGTTCACAGTGGCGATTGGAACTCGACCACGATCTGTCGAGGTCGCACGGTCTTTTGAATGTGTTATAGATGCAGAACTTAGTGGCGTATGATCTACCAGTGTGTACTTGAGGACATACTACAAATGCAAAACTTGACGACTTATGATCCGTCAGTGCGTCGTCTCCAGTACATAATGGATATGCTGAATGATGCAATGTCAATTGACGACGGCACACAGCACTAGCAATCGGTGGATCACTCGTTAATCTTACATTCTCGTATATCCAAGATCCAGTCGATGCAGGCTGTAGAACAAAAGATCATTAATTCTGTTTTATCCTTAGGAAGTTGACAGTGAGTGAGCATAGCTTTAGTAATGTGCTCTGTTGTAATAGGGCGCTCCCCAGCACAGAGACAGATGCCAACGTGCGCGCGAGCAGGGTTGTATACATGTGATACCAGTTACTATTTCTTCTCTTGATTGTGGCCTTCCAGCTTGTCACCTGCCACCCCCCCCTTTATCAATTCCAATTCCATCTGCAACGCGTATTTATCTCGTTCGTTGGTGGTATTATACTGGTAGGTCCATTGATCGAATGATAAAAGTAGCAAGTCGCGATGATACGAGCAAAGGTAGAAGGATTTGAAATTGCAGGGATATGTCGTTGGGAAAGTAATGCCTGTGTCTAAGAACGAAGGTACAAATAGCTAATTTGTACTGCAAGCACCATATGGAAAAGTGGTGTATCTCTGATAGCGTCTCCAGCAGTGAGTATGACTTTACTTTTTGTGCATCAATCCGAGACCAGTATAACTTCCTCTCAAACTCATGCGCAAAAAACGTCACAGCAGCCAGTATAATTATATGATATAAGTTTATTACTACGGCCGAACGTGACTGGTTGTGTCGCCTTTGTTTTTGTTTTTGGTCCCTTCTTCGGCCCAACGGTATAATGTTGCCAGTGCCATTGAGCATCACGTCGTCGACTTTCAAATCATCGTTCTTCTCTATCAACTACAGCCAATGACATGCAACTGATCTTCGCCAATGAACTGACTGGCCTCGAAATCCTGAGCCCATGACATACAGCCAAAAATGTTATCTCGGGTGGGCGTCACAGAACTTCAAATCATAGGCGGTGCAGCAAAAAAAAATTCTCGAGTTATCCCCGAGTTATTTCGCTCATGTGGTGCACATATACAGTGATAAATAAATCACTTTGTTTGATTGGACTAAAATTTTAGGTAAAACTGACTGCTGTAGGTGCTCTAAGTACTGCTGTGTAAATAATACGGTGTATATACTGCGGACAGTGACGTAAAAGGTAGATTCACAAAATAAGAAAGCCTCTCAACTTTTGATCTTGGGGCTGTAGTGATCCGTCTCAACATTATGATTCGATTACCTAATGATGCAAAGTTCAAAATGCTGCATTTGCACGTCTGTTAGTGTGGGCACATGAAGTTCATCGCCTTCATTGCAGGACCACGTTGATATTGAGAGACTGGTCTCGTCCAGTATCCTATGCCGTGCGTTCTATCGAAATTACACATTAAAGTTCGCATCTTATGAATCTTAGGTGTTGAAGTGGTAGCAAAGTGGAGCCCGGTACCGTTGGAGTTGGTTTATCAATCGTTGTTGTATCGTGACGACAAATCGATAAAATGTTAGTTTATTACCCTTTCAGTACTTAGCGCAAGGATTGGCGTCAAAGCCTTTTTGTGCTTGGCATTGTGTAAAAATGCAGCTCATCACATGGGCATGTGGACTGAGTCGTGTAGAGCATTATTCAATGCTAACGCTGATCGCCCTTGATACCATGTGACGATGTCACCTACTCATCGGCCGTTAATCGCATGTACTATAATCTAATGCTGTGTAGTTAAGATCCCGAAGACAAAGCCGATACAGCCGTCCTTAATGTATTATACAGTGTCTGTATAAATAACTAAATTATGGAAATCGTTGCATTCACTCCCCTTTTTGAATCAGATTCAATCCATATATTAGGTGAACATTTTTCACTGTAATTTTTATTTCGGCACTATTAAGCGTGAAAGATTCCTGCTTTCTCTTTCAATACACTGCGATTTCTACCAATTACACGACTAAATGGATTCTACCGATCGCTACGCCTTGGTCTACGGCGATGCCAACAAGGTTTAGCTGGGGATAAAACCATCGGAGTCACTATCGGGAGTTTTAGCCTACCATTGCAAATATCGAGTACAAGATAGCGTCGAGCATCACGTGATTGCACATTGGGATACTACTTTCTCTTCAGACCGAACTTTATCACCGTGATCTGCATTCAAATGACCAAATACGCCGTCAGAATGTTAAGAAGCTGAAATGGTCACGTTGAGCCTTAAAAGGCAATTAAAACACAAGAATTGAGTATAAACAGTAAAAAGACAGAAACAAAAAGTAGAACTAAAAAAGAAGACAAAGATCTTGGTTATGGAGATGACTCCTATAAACACATAGTAGAAGTCAATGAAGAAGACGAAGAAAGTGGTTATGGAGATGACTACGATAGACCCAAAGTAGAAGTCAATGAGGAAGACAAAGAACTTGGTTATGGAGAGGACTGTGATATATCCATAGTACGTGCAGTTTCAATCAGGTATTTGCTTTCAATCACCTGATCGAGATTTATAACCAATTAGCTTTCACCATTACCGATTCTTAACACCACTGGTTCCGATTTGGTGCCTGCTCACGCTAAGACAGGACCGGCTGCGGGTGCCGTGGCTGGTTTAACGGTCCACGAAAATCGGTTTTGAAGCACGCCTTTCTCTTTTCCACGTCTGGAGGCGCGAGCTCGGCTTCCTCGTCATTGATTTTGGAGGTTTCCACGCGGGGAAACTATCTTTCAGTTGTGATAGTGTGTCTCCGGACTCGTCTCGCTCTGTTGCCTCGCCATCTATGGGCAGTGTTGATATATTCCGCGATGGGGCCTGTCTGGACAAGAAAGGCGAACCGGCCTATCCAGGGTCCTTTGACGTCGGTAAGTTGTCCGGTCGTGACCTGCTGGTGATGGTTTAGCTCAATAATGACAGGGCATTTTTTTGCGCAAGCTACGCGCCTAGAGTTAGGAAGTAGTAATAATGTTGCCGTACTCGGTGGAATTGGAGGTGGGGGCTCAATTTTGAAGTTAGGGAATTCCAAATTGGTTGCTTCATTTTTTAGTGACTATGGAAATGCAAAAGTTGAGAAGTTGCTTAGCATCGACCAGGTCAATGTGCTTGCACACCTAAGTAATGTTCGATATGGGCCAAGTCGCTGGATGTTAAGCGGTATCGCAGAGGGGAGCATGTGACTTGCTATGGCCATCAGGGTTTCCTTTAAGGATACTAGCTTCGTTGATACTTGTCACAACGTCGGCGTTCCAGTATTCCTGGTGAATGACTCCGGAGATTTTTTCGATCACCTTCGTTCCCGAGGCACCTCACCTCTCAGCTGTGCTCGTCTAGGTTTTGCCAATGTACTGCGCTTGGGGCATATCTGAACCTACATTCGATCCAATTTGTAGCATCTTTGTCCGGAGATTGACGGCGTGGCGGTGAACCAGTTCGTACCCTGTGGATCGGTATATCCTGCGCGCCATCGTGATGCCCCAAGTATTCAAAATCAGGCGCTCTGTCATCGCCGGTCTCGATGCTTCTTAGATCTAGCTCCCGTGGCTTTTACTGCTGCACCATTTAACAATCGGGCTGTTGGAAAGGCTATCAGTACATAGGTTTGCCGTGGAGTTAGTACTTCTGGTGATGAATTTATGGCTGTCTTCTGGGACGAGTTCCAGGACAAAACCTTACCAATTTCTCGACCAGGGTCAGTGAAGCACCGTCTCTTGTGTTGGTGTTCTCTTCAAATTCTGCTATAGAGTCCACCGGATAAGCTGTTCCCTGCTCAAACGACGCCAGGTTAGTTTCAAATCCAACGGAATCGTAAACGTCACCATGCTCGTGTCGACAAGGCTACTGTCGATCGTGGTGCACGCCAAACCGTTAAGAAGCATCGCCACTCTCGATGCACACGTTAAGGTGCACGGGTCGACTGTTGACGAGGATCTATCTGCTATCCAAACCTGGATCATTCCAACACGTTTTTCGCCGCCGAATGATTTAGCGTGTGCGGCTAGATGCTCCAAAATGGTCAACGTCGACGGCCGGTCTGTCCGTGCTGTCGCGATCAGAAGGTGCGCAATCTGTTGCACAAGCTCATATTGGACAATAGTGCTCAGCCTTACCGTAACGAAGCTTTTCGTCTTCCTGAAAGTAATACTCAAGCTCGAATTCGCGAGATCATTTATTCTTCGGGTAACCCGGACACTCAATTGAAGGCTATGCGAACAAGCCTGGTGCTAGCGAACAGTGTTTTCTGACCCAATGCAGACATTTGGTCGATGTGCTCAACTTGAGGAGTTTATCAAACTCAATTTTGTTCAACGTCTCTTACAGGATGCCGATCCCAACGGTTGTAAGCCCTCTTTGTTGACTTGGACTTGTTTCAGTCTATTTGGCGATCGCACAGATCTCGTCCGGAGGACACAGGCACTCTGCCAATTGTATACTGACGACAACCGTGACCTAGCTGCTGCATTATGTGCGTTACTCCTTTTCGAATTTTTCTAGCTGTAGTCGGCACCTACTATCATGCAGATTGACGGCTGGCTGCTCATAGAATGTGGTCATGCGATTCAGTGGATACGTACTGACCCAATTCATCTCGTTGCGATTGATGTACTCCAGTATCTTCTCGAATCTCCTCTCAGCGAATGAAATGTCGAAAATTATACTCGCTCTGGATATTTGGTCGATAATCTATTCTCTTGTTGACTTGCGAGCTTTAAGTACGCCTATTGATGCTGAAAATACCCTTCGGATCGTTTACACGT